TTGGTGTGGGTTCACAGCCAGTCTGCTCGCCAGAGAGGTTGTTCTTTCCTAGCTCACCGGGTTTGGGTTCCTGGTGACCTGGAGACAGTCCTATCTGTTTCAGTCCCAGGTTCAAACCTGCCTGGGCCTCGTGTGGGTCTATCGGACCGCTTTTGTGTCTCTCCCTCCTCTGCTGTGCTGGTTTTCTTGTTGGGTCAAGCTTCGGCACCTGTTCTGGTTACTTGTGGAGCTTCCCTTCTGCCTCTCTTGTGACTGCCGAGTTCGAACCCAGTAGGCTTTGCGCTGGTTGCTACATCCTGAGCTTCCTCTTCGGGGATTTTGAGGTTCGGTGCCTTGGCACCTCCTCGAGCTCTCACCTGTTGTGTTCCCGGATGCCTCATCTCTCGGCTGGTTTTTTGTACCCTAGCTCACTAGGCTGGCTTGGGGTGTTGGGCTCAGTCCTTCCGTCAGGCTCACAGCATAGTGCAAGAGTTTGCGGTGGTCTGGCCTTCACTGCATGGGTTTGGGTCGCTTGGGGCTCCTTGGTCAGGCTTCCTTCAGACTGCTCCGGTGGTTCATTGTCTAAACTGCAGGGGTTGCCTTAGGACCTTGGCTCTTTGGGACTGGTCTCTTTGAATGACTCGTTTGCTGGTTTCTCAGGGTATAGCTTTTCGTGCAGTTCGCATCCAGGGTATGTCCAACGTCTTGGTAGACAGTTTGTCCCAGTTCCTTCCCCTATCCACGGAATGGATGGTCGATGCCGATTCCATCAGTTGGCTCTGCCGGTCACACGGGCACCCGGAGGTGGAACTCTTTGTGCCAGCATGGTTCCGGTGTCTTCCAAAATACATGGTGCCCTTCTCGGACTTCATAGCCGTCGCATTGGATGCTCTTCGGCAGGACTGGTCGTGGTGGGGTTCCCTATACCTCTTTCCCCCAGGTCCAGCTGTTGTTTCGGTTTCTTGCTCAGTTGGAGTTTTCACATAGGAGAATCATCCTTGTAGCCCCATGGTGGCCAGCACAGCCTTGGTTTCAGGCGCTGCTTGCTCGGTGTCCGAACCGGGGCATTTTCCGCAGCACCGCTTCTTCCAGCTGATCGGACCAGTCTGGTACATGGCTGGTTCGATCTACTCCTCCCCTCGTCGCATCTGGTCTTTCTGACACGGGTGTATCACCATTTGTATGGTGATCAAGTGGCTTCTCTCATAGCGTCCTACCTGTGGTCCTCATCTCGGCGCCAGTATGAGGTGTCTTGGCAGTCTTTTCACCATTTACTCTCCTTGTATCGCTGGTGTTGGCGGAGCCACTCACACTTGCATTTTGTATGCTTTCTCGTGCTTTGTTTCACCTCCGACCTGCTCATGCGCTGCCTGAGCCATCCTGGTCCTTGGACAGAGTGCTCTTTTTTCTCCCTTCTCCTCAGTTTATGGTGGCCCCCCTTTGATTGCTTCCAGAAGACACTTTCTGTTGGCATTAGCCTCTGGGGGTCAGGTTGGTGAACTTCATGCTCTCCTCTGGCACAGAGGGTTTTGCTTTTTTGGTCCTGGTGGATGTTTTGTTCAGTTGCAGCTGTCTCCCTTTCTGGTGAAGAACGAGATGGCAGGTTTTCAGAGGAAGTCCGTGGGTTATTGATGCTTGATTGGTCAGGTTGAAGGTGCATCATGTGTTGTGTCCGGTTGCGGCTCTGTGCCGTTACCTGTGCGCCTCGGCCTCTGTGGCCGTGACCACAGGATTATTAAATCTAGCCAGCCTGCAGTCTACCCTCTTGCCCATGACATTTGTACATATGCTGCCTTGACTACCATGTTTGGCAACATGTCCTGGGCTCACTGTCAGGTGCAGGGTTTTTGGAGGCCAAACAGGGTCCTGGCCATCCATTAATTGGTAAATATTCCTGGTCCCAGTCATTTGTGTGTGGCTTTGGGTCGCAATTTGCAGCCAGTTGTCTTCTCTTCGAATTGATCCACAAGGTGAGGCCGCCTCCTGAGTAAGTCCCTCTTTTACTTATCTTTGATTATGTAGCTCCAGGGAGCCGAAAGGGCTCCCCACAGAAAAGCAGCGTTGAATGTAATGAAATGTCATTTTCTTGGCGAGCCCCGGAGGCTCCTCGACTGGAGGGAGAGAGGGTACCAGGGCTCCGGAGCTCACCCATTTTCTGGGTGAGCTCTGAAGGCTCTCTGGCACCCTTCCTCCCTCCGGTTGCAGTTTTGTTTTTGATGCTTAGCCTCTGAATTGAGGTGTGAGTAGCTGGCGCATAGGTCCGGGGATTCCCCCTTCCCCTCCCGGGGAGGGGAGGGCTGTACGGACAAGCAGCACATTTGGCAGCGAGTGACACTTGCTTATTTGCTTGTTTCCTTTTTTGTTTTCGTTTAGGGAGTTGTTTCTCTGTTTGGTCTTTTTTTTTTCAAATTTCTTACCATGTGGAGTTTGTTTTGAGATGCCTACCTTTCTGGATGCCTAACCCTTGTCAATAGCAGACAAGGAATACCCTAAATACAAGGGGGTCTCCTTATCCACTGCACTGCGCACCTGGTTTCGGCAAATTTTTTTTGTGCAGTTGTCAAAAACATATTTTTGTTGTTTTTATAAATATTCAGGTAAAGTTAATGTCAAAATGTTTCAAAACAACTATTTCCATTTCAAAACACAAAGAGTGATGAAAACATTAAAAAACATTAAAATATAGCCTAATTTAAAAAAAAAAAAAGGACAACTCTCAGAGTGCTTAAAGGCACATTGTGCAGTGCAGTGGTTAAGTCATTGCTCTCTCTGCCTTTCTGACGGGGCCAGGTTCTGGCTCTGGTCCCTGGTAGGCAGAGGCTCCAATGACTGAAGCCCTAGACTAATATAGTGTCTATCAGTCCTATAGCCCCAGGGAGCCTCCGAGGCTCGCCCAGAAAATGGCGTTTCATTACATTTGACGCTGTTTTTTTTATCATATAAATACCTATGGCAATACATTTCTTGAAGTGTTAACTATATTGTCATCTCTGTAATTATTGATGACACTGTGCATTATATCTAACCTTTGTATAGTATTACAAATTTATTTTAACAAAGGTATCACATGCAATGCTGGTATGAAAAGACAGTTTAAAAGTGCTATGAAGTGAAAATTAATCTTAAGAAAAAATATGAAAGCTTTGAATGAATTTGAAAATAGTTATTGATTATTGATACTTTCATGAAGGAAATAACTCCTTCCATTCTTTTATTGTTACTTGCTCATATTATGAAAACAGTTATCAATATACCCAAGAAGAATAGTAAAAATAAAAAATGTCACATATTCAAGTTTTATATGGTAGTGAACCAGTATTACCAAGACAAACTTAATGAATTAGAATATATAACATTAGTTTATTTTAAAAAATGATTTGTTGGAAATTGTTACATTAAAGCCATTATATTATATATATATATATATATATATATATATATATATATATATATATATATATATATATATTTATATATATATATATATATATATATATATATATATATATATATATATATATATATATATATATATATATATATATATATATATATATGTTGTACCTAGTAGCCAGAACGTTGTACTTGGCCTACTATGCAAGGCCCGATTTGCCTAATAAGCCAAGTTTTCCTGAATTAATATATTTTCTCTAATTTTTTCTTATGAAATGATAAAGCTACCCATTTCATTATGTATGAGGTCAATTTTTTTTATTGGAGTTAAAATTAATGTAGATATATGACCGAACCTAACCAACCCTACCTAACCTAACCTATCTTTATAGGTTAGGTTAGGTAGCCGAAAAAGTTAGGTTAGGTAGGTAGTCGAAAAACAATTCATGAAAACTTTGCTTATTAGGCAAATCGGGCCTTGCATAGTAGGCTGAGAAGTGCGTTCTGGCTACTAGGTACGACATATATATATATATATATATATATATATATATATATATATATATATATATATATATATATATATATATATATATATATATATGTCGTACCTAGTAGCCAGAACGCACTTCTCAGCCTACTATGCAAGGCCTGATTTGCCTAATAAGCCAAGTTTTCATGAATTAATTGTTTTTCGACTACCTAACCTACCTAACCTAACCTAACCTAACTTTTTCGGCTGCCTAACCGAACCTAACCAATGAAGATAGGTTAGGTTAGGGTAGGTAGGGTTGGTTAGGTTCGGTCATATATCTACGTTAATTTTAACTCCAATAAAAAAATTGACCTCATACATAATGAAATGGGTAGCTTTATCATTTCATAAGAAAACAATTAGAGAAAATATATTAATTCAGGAAAACTTGGCTTATTAGGCAAATCAGGCCTTGCATAGTAGGCCGAGAAGTGCGTTCTGGCTACTAGGTACGACATATATATATATATATATATATATATATATATATATATATATATATATATATATATATTATTAATTTATATATATAAATATATATTTATATATATAAATATATATTTATATATATAATATATATTTATATATATAAATATATATTTATATATATAATATATATATTTATATATATATAATATATATTTATATATATAAATATATATTTATATATATAATATATATTTATATATATAAATATATATTATATATATAAATATATATTTATATATATAAATATATATTTATATATATAAATATATTTATATATATAAATATATATTATATATATATATAAATATATATTATATATATAAATATATATTATATATATAAATATATATTATATATATAAATATATATTATATATATAAATATATATTATATATATATATATATATATATATATATATATAATATATATATATATATATATATATATATATATATATATATATATATATATATATATATATATATATATATATATATATATATATATATATAATATTGCATTTGTGTTATAGTCTGAACTCTCTATGATATATATGAATATTACATTTATGGAAAGGTAGCTCACTGTTCCAATACCTGACAGGAATGGGTGTGCAACATCAGAAGACCTCTTCTGGAAACTGGATGCCTTACAATCTTTTATTAGAGATCTTCACTGGCCTGACCATGACTTTGCAAAACATCTGGAGCAAAGATTAAAGGTATGAAAGAATATAGTTTTGTTATAAGTATAAAAGCAGTTTTATTGGTCCTCATAGACACACATGTAATTACACCTACTCAGTTTGGAGACGGACAGAAAAATTAATTTAAGGCGGTGACGTTGCTGTGATGGTGAAGGAACACCTAAAGGTAAACGAAATAATGACTGCCAATCCACAAGAAGTTGACCTAATAGTACTAGAGATCTACAATCAGGATGATAAACTAACGATCGTAAATGCATATAGTCCACCGCCATGCAACACATGGTCAAAGGATGAACTGGATAATAAACGAGAGGGTCTTATAACAATAATTAGAGAGATTATAGCGAGAGCTGATAAAGATAGATCACGACTGTTGGGAGTCAGTGACTTCAATTTGAAATCCAGAGACTGGGAGACACATGAAGCTAGAACAAAGGATTTTTGGACTTGTAGAGTCGTAAATCGCATCCTGGAAACATTCATGTTTCAACATGTTAAACAAGCTACGAGGATGAGGGAAAGGGATGCTCCCTCCATGCTAGATTTTATATTTACCAGGAAAGAAGAAGAGATATTTGACATTCAGTACCTTCCTCACTTTGGTAAAAGTAACCATGTCTTTTTGGGAATAAAGTATGCAATGCATTATAATCTTGAAGAAAATAAGGAGGTTGAAGCAGTTGAAAAACCTGATTTCTAGAGAGGGCATTATGGGAAACTGACATTTCTCTAACCCTTTAACTGCGCGGCCTATAAATATGACACCCCCCCAGTGCGCAGGAAATGAAACCTCGGGAAAAAATTCTTTTTTCTTGTGAAAGTGTCAAAAACCCCTCTCTGTATATGGGTATAGCAACGGAAGTTCGAAATTGTACTTACTTTGGCTGCTATGGGGTCCGAAAGGTGGGGCGTGACATCATCATTCCCCGTGCGCCAGAGCAGTAAGCTCCTGGGGCCGGTGGGGCACCCGGGGCAGGGCGTGCGAGTTGCCACGAATATATTTTTGTTCATTTTTTGCGCACAGTTCCAAATACATTTTATTTGTTTTTACATGCTAATCCTATGTATAATGAACACGTACACTACATTATGGTAGTAAAACATCCGTACTGTCCAAGGACACTGTTACGTGCATGACACTTGTGTACACATATCTTGCACATATTTACCATGTATCATGCTAATTTATGTATATATACAATCTACAGACTATATACTGTCACACAATATATACATTCACCATCAACACATTCAGAACACCGCGAGTGTGAGCAGCCACACCCAGCCAGCCCTCCCTCACTTCGCCAACATTGCCCCCTCCCATCATACAGTTATTCACACCAATGTTTCATGTTCATTTATGTATATTTACAACATATGTACACACTATACACTGTCACACACTATATACATTTACCATCAACACATTCAGAACATCGCGAGTGTGAGCAGCCACACCCACACAGGCCCTCCCTCAATCCAACATCTTACTCACCAACTTTGCTCCTCCCACCATACTGTCATTGTTTTTATTACACTATTTACACATGTTATATATACTTTTCTACATGTTTTATTTACTAGAACTATGCAAGTAAGCTGGAATTGTGTCCAAACAGTACAGTGGCCATCATACACTGCATGAGAAATCATACAGCAGACAGCAGATGACGCTACAATTATGACGTCACATCCCTCACCAAAATAGCTCGTATGGGCCAATAGCAGGTGCCTCGTATGGGCCAATAGCAGGTGCCTCGTATGGGCCAATAGCAGGTGCCTCGTATGGGCCAATAGCAGCTGCCTCGTATGGGCCAATAGCAGCTGCATAGTATGGGGCAATAGCAGCTGCCTCGTATGGGCCAATAGCAGCTGCCTCCTATGGGCCAATAGCAGCTGCCTCGTATGGGCCAATCCTGGTCACTAATTTCTGTAAATGAATAATTGACCACAAGTTTATTTTGAAAAGGAACCTAAGAAGTCGTTTAAAGATTCCTAGATGGACGAAATAATGCTGTGGTGCTGTGGCTAGCGCTGTGAACATCGTGAACAGCATTGAATCACTGATATTTGAACATTGTACCCAGTCATTATCCCACTCAGGCTCTTCTATAATACTATCACGGCTAAATAATACAGGTTATATATATATTTTGACATTATTAGGCAATGATGTAGCCACATGCTGAACAGCAGAGCTGTGCGCTCATGCTGCAAGCGCCAGCCTTGGTTGCTCACTCACTACTGAGGCTCTGACACCCGGCAATGTGGACCATGATTTTTTTTAAAGATGGCGTCTGTTTACAAGAGCCCTGAGGAAGCTGGTGTGAACCTCATGTATCCGCAGGAGTTTTAAATGGAACGTGAAAAATAAAAACACCTGGAGGCGCGTTGCGCACCCGAAGCCTGGGCCTGCAGGCGCGTTGCGCAGTTAAAGGGTTAAGGAATTTGACTGGAAAGACTTGGTGTTAGGACATGAAGTAAATGAGATGTATGTCAAGTTTTGTGAAATATATGATAAAGGCACAACAAAGTTTATATCAAAGTAGAGATGCCGAACCAGGAAAGAGGATTGGTTCAATAGAAATAACAAGAGGGCCAGAGACCAAAAAACACAAAAATGGAACCAATATAGGAAGAGGCTAAATCCCCAAAGATATCAGTTATACAAAGATTAAAGAAACAACTACACAAAGAAGCAAAAAGAAATTTTGAAAAAGGGATAGTAGACAAATGTCAAACAAAACCAGGCCTATTCTATAAATTCTTATGCAACAAATTGCAGGTAAAGGATAATATTCAGAGGTTGAAAATTGGAAACAGATTCACGGAAAATGAAAAGGAAATGTGTGAAACATTAAACGAAACATTCCAAAGGGTGTTTGTACAAAATGAAATCTTCAGGGACCCAGACACAATAAAAATTCCAGAGCAACATAGAGCACATAGAGGTGTCTTGAGACGAAGTGGAAAAACGCTCAAGGTGCTAAGTAAGAACAAAGCAGTTGGTCCAGATGGAGTTTCACCATGGGGTTCTGAGAGAATGTGCTCCTGAGCTCAGCATTCCACTTAAACTGATTTTTCAGACATCACTGTGTACAGGAGTTGTAGCTGATGTGTGGAAAAAGGCTAACATAGTTCCAGTCAACAAATATGGCAGCAGGGAAGACCCCCTCAATTGTAGACTTGTATCGCTGACAAGTGTAATAGTCAAAATATTGGAAAAAAATAATTAAAATAAATGGGTAGAACATCTGGAGTAAAACTTTATAATATCAGACAGTCAGTATGGTTTTTGATATGGAAGATCCTGTGTAACAAATTTATTGAGTTTCTATGATCAAGCCACAGAGATTTTACAGGAAAGAGATGGTTGAATTGACTGCATCTATCTGGACCTAAAAAAGGCTTTCGACAGAGTTCAACATAAGAGGTTGTTCTAGAAACTGGAACATATTGGAGGGGTGACAGGTAAGCTTCTAATATGGATGAAAAATTTTCTGACAGAAAAATGAGGGCAGTAATCAGAGGCAATGTATCAGACTGGAGAAATGTCACAAGTGGAGTACCACAGGGTTCAGTTCTTGCAATGGTAATGGTCATTGTCTACATAAACGATCTACCAGATGGAATACAGAATTATATGAACATGTTTGCTGATGATGCTAAGATACTAGGGAAGATGAGAACATAAGAATGAAGGTAACTGCAAAAGGCCTATTGGCTCATACGAGGCAGTTCCTGTTTCTGGGGGAGCCCCTTCTGCTCGCCGGAGCTATCCGGGCTGATATGAATGTATTAGACCCTGGCATCAGTCAAGCGAATGGAGTTCTTAGGCCTACGGGAATCACGAGTCAGAGCCTGACCCCCCCCCCCCCCTCAGAGAGACGTGAGAAGTAATGGGCCTATAGAAACCCGTGTGTGGTTGGAAGCAGTCTATGTCTGCCATCGACTTGGTCAGATACCCAGAAAGGTAGGCGCCCCAAAACAAACCCTATCTGGTTAAAAATTGCTACTGAAAGCTGAACTGTTGGACAGAACTCCCCATACTAAAAATGAGTAAACGAGCTTGTCAAAACTGTCACCGTGCCTCTGTCTGCGCAGCTTCCCCTTCCCCTTCCCCTTCCAGACACCCTGTGCTGGCTATCCACCCCCAGTTCTGTGGATGATGTGAGACCTGGCAGTCATGCAACTCTGGCTCCAGACATTTTCCAGTGTTGTGCCTTGTGGTGTGGTCCTCTCCTGTGGTGGTGTGTGAGCCAAGAGTAATTTTACAAGTACTTGGACTGCATGCACCTAGGGTTCTCTTCCCTAGGTGTCCTGTAAGTACTGCCCTTGTCGCTTGGGGTTACCTTCCACAAGACGCTTAGGGTCTGCCTCCATGGAGTCTTTTACTGCTCGGTGATTGCCCACCCTTGAAGTCATCATTGGAAGGGGCACAAGGTACTGTGCAGCTAGTTTTCTCCATATTATAGCGGCTGACTCTGTTCCGCCTGGGTCGTTGTCTTCTTGCAGGGTTCTTCTTTTACCTTTTGTTACTGCCTGGTAAGGGGTCTGCTCCTTGGTGTTAGTACCCCTTCTATATATTTGGTTGTCTTCCACTAGGTCCCCTGTGAGTGTACATGTTCCGAGGTTTCAGCCATTAGTAGTTCACGTGGTAGTTTGGGGCCCGGGTTAGCAGTACCTTGCCTGGGCTACCCTTAGCAGAGCATCTAAGGGCCCTGCAAACCCTCATTGCGGCTCAGAGGTCCAATGGATGCATTCCCTGGGTCCCATCTCGCTTTGTGCGAGTTTGAAGGTTGCTCTGTTCCCTTGTCTCAGGGTGACAATTACCTGTTGTGCCTCCGTCATGCTGCCTGTTAGGTCGGTGACACCTTTCACCCGAAGTCCTGCAAGTGGTATTCCTTGCTTGTACTCCAATTCACCTAATCCACTGATCTTGATATTCGGGTGCAGGCAGCTTCAGCATCACATGCACGTTATAGGTTGCTGCAGCATGCTAGTTTTTTGTG